CTATAAAATTCCAAACACTTGAGGATGTCCTAAAATTTACTGTTTTACAAGCCACAATAAGTATTCACTTAAATAAATTACAAATTTAATCTTAGGAGTATGGAATAGAATATTTTTGCATAAACTAAGCAAAACATATTTGTACGAAATGAAGCTCTGGAAAAGGTAGTTTTTCTGGTTTCTCTCTGACTCATCTTAACCATTGAGATGATTAAGATGAGTCAGAATAACTGACTCATCTTAATGAAAAGCAGGCAGAAGTACGACTCATTTCATTTCCTTTTTGCTAGTCTGCACCGGATCAACCGCTCTGGCCTACACTACAACCTTCACGTCTCTCAGCATGTCGTCTCTTTGGTCTCAGCTTACGCAGCTGTGAGGACATGTGCCCGCCTCCTGCAGCGCCCTTACACTGACAGCATCCCCCACTGTGGTCACTTGACAAGTTAAACAGTTGTCAGCACAGAATACATACATCATTGCAAATAATAAAACTAAAGCTCAGATTCTGAAAGATCTTTCCTTTATCAAAAGCAGTTAATGCAGAATGATAAATTTGACAAATAGAACATAAAAAATGTTGGGAACAATGCAAAGTACATTACATTTTCATTTTTTACTTTGCTTTGAAATTCGTAGTTAACAGGACCAAAAACATCCAGCCACAAAAAATGGTATCAATTAAAAACTAATAATAATAGAAAATTGGGCACCACTACTTAAACTGGCTAAATTTGTCTTTCCAGGAGTGATCAATAATCTTTTGCGACTGTTGTGAAAGTAAAACTGTTACATACCAACAAAATAAAAATCATTCAAATCCCAAAAAGTAAAAAGAAAAAATTGTCTGCCTCTTCTGTGTTAATATGCCAAACATGTTAACCTATTGTTGTTTCAGATCTAAGCTTGATTAGGTTATTCCAGAAAAGTTGAAGGTTAAATAAAATTCCAACAAAATAAGGTAGAGATTTCCATTTTTAATAAGAAAATAAAGAATTTGGCCCAGACATACTTTCAATTTGTCAAGAATTTCTTGTGAAATTTCTTGCAACATGATATCTCCTTTCGGTAAGGCTTTTTCATAAAATATTTGCATGAAATCATTTTTTGTATGCGACCACAGCTTCATTATCCACATTTGTGTCCAATTTAAGAATATGAAGCAGCTAATATTGTATGTTTGCCCTGTGAAGCATTTCCAATTGGTCGTAAGCAGAACATCAGATCACCTGTACAGTATGTACGGTTAACTCTGCCAATGCCACTGCAAAAATCTTCAGGGCCTTATCTATCAGACCCAGCAGCACTTCAGCCAGGCACAGATAAAGACATATTTATAGTCTACTCCCCCCGAGGAATGTGTTGACTGAATTTAATTGAGACACTAGTGACAGCTCACTTGTAACATTAAAGTTAACAGTGTGCATATTTCTGGACGTAAGGCATGGATGGGCAACTTAACCATGACAGCATCAAAACAAAAAATAAAATTCAAAACAAAATATGTTTTGTTTATAAAATCTTATATACTGATAGTCTGCACACTATGTTTATTGTTATTTTGTACAAGTGAAACCTCAGGTACAAAATTAGCATAAACAATTCTTAAATATGTAGTTTTCAAGTAAACATTCTTCTTACTTTTAATTTTATATCTTCCAGCATTCTGCTCTTTATAAAGACAAAATAAGTTCCTTCACACTATTCACATCAATTCCAGACTATTCTAAACTCCAATTTATTCCAGCTTCCATCAGAATTTAAAACAATCTAGACATGTTGGATTTAATCGTGGTCTTTATGATCCACTGATCACAAAAGAATTCAATGTTGAAGTAGCTAAAGAGTAACAAGTGAGTAAGACGGTGCTCTGCCAGTTTAAAGGGAATTGCCTAAAAATATTTCAAACTGAGGTTAGCAGTATTGTATGTAAGATAAAAATAGATCAGCCTGCTTTCTGATTCAGGTAGTGCACAGTAACAGGAGTGGGGAGGAGGGTTAGCATTATGCCTCTGTTTTCTATGTCAAATACTCACAAAAGACTACAATCTTTTCCTCATTATTTACCTCATTAAAGGGATTCTAAAGAATAGGAATGCAATGGTGACCCATTGAAGTGCTATTGAAATTATTACTGCTTAAAACATTTATAATAATGCTAGAATGGCCATGTCTAGGTCAGATTCTCAGGAGCTGAGAATCGGTCTTGTTTTTCAGAACAAATTTCACTTGTTACCCCAAAAAAGAGGATTCAACATCTTCCTGGGGCTTCAATGCTTTTGAAGTGGATATATGTGAAATATAAAGCATGTTTACTGTTGACCCACCTGGCATTCATATGTTAAAGAAACTGGGATCACATATGGCCAGTTTGTTCACCTGGATATTATGTGAAGACAAACATGATGGCAGGTCCACCAGGAGCTGCTTTCTTTTCTCTATTTATTCACAGTCACTTTTACTACAAAAATGTGGGCTTTACTGTCCCCAAGACACATGGGGACTGTCCCCTCATTCGTTCAATGAGGGTACAGCTGTCTCTCCACTAATGGAGGGGTTTTGCCTTTGGGTCAAGACGGTTTTGTTCTTCTATCCTGCAAAAAGTCACCACACTACCAAGAATGGTAGGGTGCACCCTAAGACATGTTAAAAACAGTATGTCTGACTTCATACCTGTCAGAGGACTAATAAAATAAAACATGGAATTTTGCTTCACTCTGCATCATAGTAAAGCTGCAGTGAAATCTTCTTTTGCAGAAAATCCTCATTGTGCCTCATTACAACAAAGATGACAGTTACATTAGGAGACATGCTGAGGGGAGGCAGTCTTGCAGATGAAAGGAAAAACTACTGGAGCATTTTGAGAGCAGTCAGAGTTGGCAGAGGTCTGACAAGCAGGGGATGGAAAAGACTTCAGCTGCTGTCATTGGTGATGTACTATGAGCCAACGGTACTGGCTCTGGACCCCCCAATCAAAATACCTGCTGCCATTAGAGTTGGCAAAAACTTAACAGTTCTCCAGTTCCAAACAGAGCAGATCAGCCATGGGTTTGGCCCCAGTTAACAATCCTCATCTGGTTTGGAATACAGGGGTAAATTTTTCGCTTTTCAAAAATCGCTGAAAATTCAATGCTAAAATGATAAGTTCAACATATTAGACATAATTACCAAAGCGCTTTCCATAACGTCCTTCCTCTACAGCATTAATATGCCGCACCTTGTTGGGACAATAGTTGCCAATAGAGACGCTGTAGATTAAACAAATGAATCACTTCATTGGAGGCTAAACTATGACTGGTGACGCGTTAATCTGCTCTCAACTACCCAACTCTAACTAAATGCCAGATATTAAAATCCCAATCACAAGATGCCGATTAGCCTATCCACGGAAACATAAATACACACAACAGCTCAGAAGCACCAATGAAAGCAAGATCTGACACAGTCGGAGATCTAAGCTTTAAGACTCACTATTTTCTTTAAAAGCTCTTACTCAGGAGTAACTTTGTCACTGTGAAAAGTGAAGTGAAAACACTGAGAACCATTCCCATCATGTCCCTGAACCTCCCCTGCAGATGGAGGGACATAAAGGACAACCAGGGAAACATCAAGGGAAGAACAGGAAGAGGATGGGGGGAGGGAGCTGAAGACCTGAGGTGTTTACGCTTCACTGGTCTGCATGTAACTTGTGACCACAAAGCACAGCAGCATGGAGCCAACATTATCACTCAGCAGATAAGACATATTTTAAGAACACAGAGCATTACAATTCATAACTCTGAACTTGATGAGATAAATACACCATCATATTTTTCCGATATGACTGTTTTAGTTTAAATATTTTCTTTTGAAACAAACCAGAACCTTTAATTGATAGCGTGATACTGTATCAGCAGGACTGACAAAGTGTCACCAGTTTTCATAAATTGTTCCTGATACAAAATGTTAAATTGTTCTAAAACCAAATTGTCAAAAACATTGACTGTTAAGGGAAATTATTTTGAAAGTAAATCACTTTAAAAAAATGTTGATATTAGACTTAAGCGAAACATTCGTATCTTTGAATATTAGATAGGAAGCAAACGTATTAAAGGCACACACATCATTATTTTCAAACCAAGCTAATAATTTAGCAACTAAAAATTAGTTAACTTTGTATTCATTTTCAGAGAAAAATATGCCACATTTTAGTATTTTAATACGATTTTCACACTGAAAAGTTTTTGTTGGCCTATAGCTAAACTTTCAAAAACCTCAAGTTTAATAAACACATCCTGGTATGAAATTCCTTCTAAATTTCCGTGGCATTACAATATTTTGCAAAAGTAATACATATGAACCCTGTGAGATTGTCTTTTATGTATTTTAGTCCAGAAATCACTTTGAAACAATAAACATATAGGCAGAAGTAATAAACCAGATCTTTTTTTCTTCATTTTGTTTTAATAAATAAAATATAAGACGTAATTTTGATTATCTTACTTATCTTTGTTTTAAATTTTACTTTTATTGTTCGGTTTTCATACCTATAATTATTAATGTTGAATACATTCTGAAGTTTAGAACCATAAGTATTGATCTTCATATATCTGGGGTCTTTTGAAACGTTCGTCACGTAGCCCCTTACAGGAACGGACCACCTCATTAGCATCATTCCCGTGACGTCATGACGTAGTAAAAGAATTAAACATGTGGACTTAAGATTCCCGCAACTTTAAGTAATTTGAATGTGATCGGACATATCAAATAAAGACACAGATAGTGATTTGAGATTAAATCCATACTATAATAGCTGTAATTTGTGGATTAATACACTATCAGACGCAACAACTATGTAATAAGCAGACAAAAGGATGTTTAAAAAGTAGCTGTGTCATGGCGCCCAACGGGTTAAAAAATAGGAACTGGGTGAAGTGAAATCTCACGCAATGTCTTTAAAACCACCGGCAACTAAACAAGTTTGACAGGATAGAGAGCTCGCGGTTGATACGGTTTATTACCTTTCCTGAGTCCATGGCAGCGAACGGAGGAAGGCTTTTCTCTTTGTCGGTTTATTGTCAAAATTGATGGACAGCCTTCCTACGGATCTCCGTTCAGAAATTGTTCATCTTTAATAAGCTTCTGTTCCTCTGAAAAGCCTTGGGAGTTTTCTACTTTTCAAGAAGTCTCTGTGTCTGAGCGTGGTGTCTCTCTGAACCTCGTATCAGTTGTGGTCCTTCACCCTTCCGTGGTTTCAAATGGGATCTCCTTCTGTTTCGCCTCACGCAGTTTGGTGAATGTGTAAAAACTTCCAGCTGCAGCCGCCTTCTGCCTCTTCAACTTTCTGGAAACAGGCATGCAGACATGAGCCGAGCCACGCGTTGATATAGCAAAGAGGACGAGTTTCTCAATGGGTTGACCCAATGAAGGTCCTCCCACTTAGAGGAAGCAGGAAGTCCTGCCCATTTCTTATATTATCAAACAATGGAAAATGTAAGATGTGCATAAGAAATGAAGCTCCTCCCTCCCATTGAAGACAGTCCTGCGTCATACTTACCTGTGAAATTTAATCAGCCGGAATGTCGTCGAAAGTTTATTTTATTCATTCATATCTATTACATACAGTGTGATATATAAAACTTTGAGGTTGAATATATACAGCTGTTTTTAAAAAATCAGTTTATAAGAAAATCTTAATGTTCAAAAATGTTTGAATGCAAAAATTGTTGCAGTTGACCTACACAGTCCTAGGGAAAAATGACCTGACAGTTGTGCAGCAGGCAGTCATTGACATCACCACATGATGGGTATACTACAGAAGGTCATCGCTGTGTACGCTGGATTAGGTCAAACTGAGTGTAAGGAAAAAGTGTAGCAAACAAAGATGTACAGGAAGAATGTATTCTGAAAATAATTATGAAGCAAAGCCTACTCAAGAGTTTGGGGATTAATTAAAAAAGTTGAAAAAGTGTTTCAACAGTTGCCATACTACTTGTTGAAAGTTAAACTGTCACATCCCAATTAAGGCACTCCAGAACCACACAGAAGCATCTAAACTCAGTGGTCTCCAACATCACTGGTTGTATCATTTCTCTGATTTGCTTGGAGAGTTTGTTTCAAGAATAGTGATGAACCAGTGAATTGAACTGGTTCTTTATACTACAGTCACTTGAGACTGTAATTGTTTTTTTTTTTGTCAAAAAAGTCACATGTGTTGCTCAGTCATTGATTTGTAAAAGCAACAAAAGGAGCAAAATTATGTGACTCTTTCCATAACTTTGAAAATTGAAATTACATAATAAACTGAAAGAATCCAAGACATGTTCAGTTATACACTCTTATAGAAATGGTTTACTCTCCATAACTTTTTATATCTTTATGAAAAATGTAAGAACTCACCAAGGTATATTGTAAAAAGCGACCCTTGCATTCCTAGTGGACTTTATATGATCTCAAAAGTAATATTTTTCAGGTTTCTAGCTGAAAAAAGACTGATTGGAAAACCCCCACCAGCACAGACTTTGAATCACATAAAGCCTTTGGTTAAAGTCCAGTACTTACTCTGTCTTTTCCTTATTTGCTTGTTGTTAATCCTGTTTTCTGTTCTATCTGCATACTTAGGCTTAATATCCTCAATATCCATCTGATCCCATGTTCATTTCCTCCTTGAGAATTACGTCTTCCCTTGATTCCCTTCCCTTGACCGCAAGTAACTCTTTCTTATATTAAGTTTAGTTTGTCTGTCCCTAATTTTATTCTGTTTATGAATCATCTGCTTTTGAAATGTTGTTTGTTGTTAAAAGGTTTTCTAAATTCCACACCTGCTTGCCTGCAGAGTTTTGTTTACAGATACATTTTTATGATGTTTCCTTTAACCCTTGCGAGGCATAAAGCATAAGGAGTTATATTCCACTTTTATTTACAAAAATATTTAACTTGATCCAAAAGCCACTGGGGTTCTTTGTATAACTTCAAAGTTGGAAACTACTTTTTGACATAATTTCTAAATATCCAAAAATAATAATAAAGTTGAATTTTTAAGAAAATTTAATTGATTAGTTTTATTAGTACCAAATTTGGTGATTTATTTTTGTTTTCAGCGAGTTAAAATTGATTGTCTTTCTGACAACATTTGGCTTCACTTTAAATTAAAGCAACATTTTCTGATAATAAGTTAACATTCAGTGTCAATTGTATTAAATTTATTATTAGACTCATGAGTAAGCATGATACTACTGTAGTTGAAATTATTCCTGCATGTCTGTAGAATTTTTCATTGACTTTTAAAGGAGGACTTCAGTTGTTTAGATGTCATTTTTTCTCATATGGCCTCTTGGATGATTAACTGTCTCTATGGCTTAACTTTTCAATAATTGATCAATAAGTTCTGTGAGAGCAAAATCTGTTTTATCTTCAGGTCTCACTCCGTAAAAAACAAGTTATGGCTTTTCCCATGAGTTTGCCTTTCATTCTGCCTCTTTGCTGTTGGAGTGTTTGCTTCCAAACGCTTCAAAAAACAAATATTAAAAATGAAAACTAAGAACTTTTTTGTGGGATTTTGAAAGGTGTCCAAAGCTTGTTACAAAAACTGAAAAGAAAATAATTTCAAGGATTGTAAAGGAAGCGTATGTGTTTGCAGAACAACCTGAAAGCACCATGTGGAGGAAGGGTACATTTGTCAAAATTTGGCCCCTGTTTTTTTCCTTCATTGCCTTTGAAATCTTAAGATAACAATCCACTGGAAACATGGAGGAAGAAAATCTGATGCTAAATCTAGTTTAATTTTTATTATTCAAACATATTTACTCAACGTTTTTGGGAAAAACTTTTGTCCATTAAGGGTCTTTCTGACACTAACAAAATAACATAATGCGCAGAATCTAGATGCAAGGATAAAACTTACATGATGCACATTGCCAAAGCTTGTATCCTTCGAGATCTCACAGAAATCAAAAGAAAAATAATCATGACAGCAGAAGAGGAAGAACGTCTGCATTCATGCAGTAGCAGTGACGAAGAGGAAAAATGGCAAACTCTGAAACTGTTTGTTATTGCTTGATTCCAACCAGCAAATCCTTTGAAACGCCAACAAAAACAATAACAGCCATATTCCTGGAACAAAGGAGCGAATGCTCTGAAGGGTGGTATTGTGTCGTAAATCAAACGGTCAGGATGGCTGTCGCATGGGGTTCAAGTCTGGTCCTTTGTGAACAAACCCTTATAAAACGTATAAAACTGCACAGTGCAGGATGTTTCAGTCTAAGTTTTCTGTCTTTCATGCTTTCCAAGAATCCTCTCTGATATGATTTATATTGTGTCTGCAAATGATGAAAAGTTGTGCACTGCCTGAAGATAAATGTTACATTAGGTATTGGATACACAGAAGTTAGATTTTATAGAGTTATAAAATCTTTGGCTACAATCTTATGGTTATAGCCAGTGGGTATAACCAGACAAAATTCTCTTTAGTTACAACAGGTATTTCCAAACAAGGATAACTGTCTCACAGAAGAAAAAAAAATCAAGTAAAATGACACTTTACATTTTACTTCTTCAAGTAAAATGACAGCATAGTGTGCAACCATGTCTGCTGAGAGGATCATTAGGGCTTTCCCTCCATGCAGAATTTGCAAGGTAAAAAAAAAAAGAGTAGATAACATCTCTGCAGACCCCACACATCCTGGAGACTATTTAGAGTTTTACTATGGAACAATACTTGCTAAGCCCAATCACCAGAGAGACAGTTTTATCCCCAAGGCTCTGGTTTTAGAAATGGTGAATGCCCAGATTGATACTACGCATAATTGCACTAATTCAACTCTGTCTTAATTTTATACACATACACACAAGATATTTTTATTTTTTCTTTGTAAATGCTTATATTTTAACTATCTTAACTGGGAGCAAACCAGAGCATGCGTAAACATGGTAAATAAGGTAGATTTTGTTTGTAATGCTTTTTTTCATATGCAAAGTATTAAAGCAGTGCAAGTACTGCTTCAGTCTTCAAACAGATGATGGAATGAACAGAGCTTCGGAAGATGTTCAAAATTTGAAATATTGTTTTTCAACCCAACCCTTCTTTAAATGTTCCAACAATAATTTATCAGAGATATCTGCCATGTTTATTGGTCTTCATGATGCTGTTTTATTCACTAATGTTCTCTGACAAACCTCTAAGACCTTCCCAGCTCTATTTATGCTGAGATTAAATTACACACAGGTAGACTATTACTGCTAACAGTGTGACTTCAGAAGATGGTTGGTTACAGTTGATTTTCTCTAGGGGTATCCATGGCAATGAGTTTGAAAGAAAAGGCACATAATCATGCATGACTTTTACTTTTTGCTTGATTTGTCCAGCTCTACAAAAAGCAGAGGGTTTTTGGTATCTCATGAAGAAATGTGCAAAAGTATTGGTGGCATGATTGTTTTTGTCAGGCACTTTAACATTATTTCTGTTTGAACTGATTTGTGTCATGGATATGAGATCTTCAGATTCTCTCTTTGCAGACAGGTAAACACGATGAGATCAAATGCACCGGACAGTGCCCAGGATAATTTTCTCATGACTCAACAGGCAGCTCAAATTCACCTGTTCACAAAGAGAGTCCGCACCTGATCTGTTCCCTTGTGCACGTAGCCTCCCTTGCTTCGCAGTGAGTCAGGCTTTCTTTGTGACACTAATGCTCTTCTCAGGACACTTTTCTCTAACTTTTCAGAGTAAATTCAGTTAATGTGATGAGTGATTAAGCAGAAAAGCAACAATTCTCAATGAAAAAAGAAATTAATTAATTATAATTTATTATGTGTTTCTTGTTTTTGTGGACAAGTTATCAGCGAGCATTGATGCGGCAATTTTGAGTAAAAGAAGAATTTTACTCACATGGGGAACTTCTCCTTAAACAATATGCTAAAAGCAAAAATAAGTCAATTGTAGAGTTCCTTGCAGAATATAAAGCTGATTTCATCAACCTTACTTATATGTAGGGATAGGTAGAGTGTTGTTTTGAACTTTTGCAAGGTAGGTTTTTACCCAATTTAGCCAGAATTTGTTCAACATCAAAACTACTTCTACATTTATACAGTTTTGTTTTCCACTAGAATTATTATAGTAACATAGGAGATCGTCTACTTGTATAATCTGTGCTCAAGTCTTCAAATATCAAATATATTCAACTTGTAAAACCAAAGTTCTTGACTTTATGCTCCCAATACTTGGTATTGCCATTCCTTTTTAGTGACATTTCTTAAGTATTAAAAAGATCCTGCAATCAAAAGCTTGTGTTGTCATCGTTAAGTCCTCCTGAAACTGCCTAACGGTTGATTCCTGGCTGTGTGTTTCAGGTTGCATTAATATATCAAGTTGAAATATGAATGGGAGACAAG